TCGATCCATCCATCCATCCATCCATCCATCCATCCATCAATTGTTATTGTCCACCAATCCATCCTTTAGATGTCACTTTAAACTGAATACAAGTATCTTGAAAGATATCTAGTCAAATTTTATATACTATCATCACGGCAAAGATAAAAAAAAAAAAATCTTTACTTTCTTCCACCGCTGTGTCTGAACAATAACTGTTTCTAATTCAGCTTTCCAGCCAGTGATGCAAAGCAGGACACCCTCGATGGCCAAAATCATTAGTAGAAGTAAACGAGGAGCTCACAACATCCTGCCACTGCACTCATCTTTCGCCTCTCCGTCTAATCTGGTCTTGGCAGAGGCTTTGAAATGGCAATTGCAGTGTGGGTACAAATGGCCCTTGAAGATGGAGAGAGATGGTTGAGTGCGTTTAACAAATTCTGCATGGGGCTAATAAATTGCTTTAAAAAGAGTGGGGAATTCCCTACCGGTGGGCTTAAGTATCAGCCAAAGAAATGCATACTTAATGAAGCCATCTTTACTGTCCAATTATATTATATTAGTAGATGATAGCTTAGACCAGAGGTTCCAAAACTTTTCAGCCCACAACACCCAAAATGACAATGCCAACCCCCAATATTCTCTGAGGTGGTTCTAAATATATAAACCTTGCTCACAACGGCGCACACATACTGTACCTATAGACCCAATTCTATTCATCTTTTAATTTTGAAGAATACAAGCTATTATAGGCATTATTTATAGATATTATTTTTAGTTAATGCAGGAAAAGATACCAAAAAAGATATAAACATTCTTTTACTCCCTTATCAGAGAATATCCTGAATGTAGGATACAAGTTGGTGGTGAAATGATGATGTTGGATGTATTGGAAGATAACTATTCTGTGACTATTGTGTATTTTGTATGTGACAGCCCTTGTGTTCAAGTCAAATTTCCTAAGGGACAAATAAATAATCCTCTAACAGCATATGCCTAATGTATATGTAAATAAATAAACAGCATTAGCACCTCCAAGGTCATGGGCTTGATTCCCAGGGAATGTTTGAACTGATTAAGCGTTCGTTGAATGCAAATTTAATGACTCTGAAATGCATATCTTTAATGGAAAAGGTATTCCTGAAGGCTTGAACCACAAATCACGACACTACTTAAGCTGCGGTCACACTGGGCTTTTCCTCCCATAGACTTTCATTTATACGCGCGCGAATGTGTCAGACCGGAAACGCGGGGTCATGCGTCAAGTTTCCCAGGTTGCTGCGGTGCAAAGTTCAAGCTTGGTGAACTCTGACCTGCGAAATCGCTTCACTTGACAGCATGAGACCAATTGAGGATCAAAACATGACCTCTCTGGACCGGAATTTAAAACATGGAGCAATTGCTTGCTTTTTTAAATGCCTAATAAACTTGTTTAATCCCGCCCCTTTTCGCATCGCCGCATGACAGAATAACGCATGCTCAAACTCTAACGTGACCGCAGCTTTCCTCTAATGTCATGAGCTTGATTCCCAGGGAATGCCTGATTAAAAAGTAATGAAGTTTACTTAAATGCAGTCACTTTAGAAATAGTGGAAGTAAATGCATTTACACTTTAATCCACAGCAACTTACAACTCATACATTTAAAAAAAAAAAATTGCATTCAAGCTATATATATTTAATTGTGATCACTTTTTGGATGTGATCTTGGTGTTCCCAAAGATGTATTGTTTAAGCTCTGCATGAAAGATGACATGCATATTCTGATGGAAAATGCCTTCCTGAGCGAGTCGGCCAAGGTCATCATACAGGGAATAGGTTGGATTCCCAGAGAATGCGTCAATAGTTTAAGTGTACCTTGAATCCAATGGTTTAGATAAAAGTGTCTACCAAATGCATCCTTGACGATGCAAATAAATGAAAAGGATTTAAAGTGACAGTTCACCCAAAGATGAACATGTTCTCACTATTCCAAATTTGTTTGAGATTCCCTCTTGTATTAAACACAAAAGAAGTTATTTTGAGGAATGTTCAAAACCTCTAGCCATCAACTTTCATAGTAGAAAACAAATACAACGGAAGTTAAGGGCTACAAGTTCCAATACGCTTCAAAATTCATTCTTTTGTGACCAAAAAAGTAAGAAATCCAAAAAGGTAGAAAACAAGTAGAGAGGATGAGTAAATAATGATTAAATTATATATATTTTTGAGTTAACAATCAATGTAAGCTTAAAAGTCACTTCAAAGGGACAGATCACTTAAAAATGTACTCATTATTTACGCTCACTCATGTGTTTCAAACCTTTAGGATATTTTGAAGAATGATGAAAACTTGTAACCATTGACTTCCACAAAAAGAAAAACAAATACTATGAAAGTCAATGGGGCGACACAGTGGCGCAGTAGGTAGTGCTGTCGCCTCACAGCAAGAAGGTCCCTGGGTTACTGGTTTGAGCCTCGGCTCATTTGGCGTTTCTGTGTGGAGTTTGCATGTTCTCCCTGCGTTCGCGTGGGTTTCCTCCGGGTGCTTCGGTTTCCCCCACAGTCCAAAGACATGCAGTACAGGTGAATTGGGTAAGCTGAATTGTCCATAGTGTATGTGTGTGTGTGTGTGTGTGTGTGAATGAGTGTGTGTGGATGTTTCCCAGAGATGGTTTGTGGCTGGAAGGGCATCTGCTGTGTAAAAATGTGCTGGATAAGTTGGCGGTTCATTCCACTGTGGCGACCACAGATTAATAAAGGGACTAAGCCGACAAGAAAATGAATGAATGACTGAATGAAAGTCGATGGTTACCGGTTTCCAACGTTTTTGCTGTTTAACAAAAGAAGGAAACTCAAACAGGTTTGGAACAAATGAAGGATGTGTAAACAATGACAATATTTTCAATTTTGGGTAAACTGTCTCTTTAAATTAACAAAGATTTACCATCTATTTAATGTTGTATCTTGAACCCAGTGTTTTTGCAAAAGTGTGTCTTCTGAATCATTTTAAGCAGTCTAACGTCTTCTCCTAGTGGTTATTCTTTAATTAATGGGACTCGATTAATGGGACAAGCACTTTTGAAGTGTGTTTATGAGCCGGGCACCTCTGGGACTGTTTGCACCTGCAATACCAGACGCACTTACTTGGACTCGATGTCGGCCTTCTCGCGCACAGCCTGCGCCATCTGCTCCAACTCAAAGTATTTCTTTTTGGACTTGGCCAGATCCTTCACTGAGTCCTGGAGCTCGGTCTGGATGCGGCCCAGCTGCTCAATGCACTGCAGGGGGGGAAGAGAAGCAGAGACGGGACGATAAAATCCACATGCGAACGTTCCTAGAGAAACCGAATACAGTGGTCCCTCGTTATTCGGGGGAGTTAGTTCTAAAAATAACCCGCAATGGGCAAAATCTGCAAAGTATTCTGCTTTATTTTTTAATTATTATAGATGTTTTAAGACTGTCAATCCCCTCACTCATTCTGCTTTATTTATCTTCTTTAAAACAAAAGAAATCAGCCGAACACGCAGGATCAGTGTAATGAGTATTTTCCTAATTTTGTGGATTCCTGTCTGCCATTAACAGTCCTCTTCAGTTTCCTGTGCAGCGCATGCGTGTTGCTAGGGTAATTGTAAACGTCCGGGAAAAGCGCATTTATTTCAAACTATGATCAAAACTGACTGGAACTACCTGTGTGTTTCAACAGAAATAATGTGCACCCTCCAGCCAATCAGAATCAAGAATTTCAACAGACCATGAAATAAAGGGTGCTTTCACATCTGTAGTTCGCTTCATTTGGTCCGGACCAAGCGCAATAAATGTTACATTGTTGCATCTTCTGCCGTCTTTGGGTCGTTTTCACACCACACTGCTGGCTTTGATCCGAACCAATTGAAACGAACCAAAATGCAGTCATCTGACAAAATCCACATCTCTCATTGGCCAGATGTTGTTGAACATATTTCCTAAACTGCTTATTGATTGGTCAGAATTCACGTGCGGGAAAATGCCAGTGAACTCCCGCAGGTAAACAAAACCTTTTACTCTGGAGGGACGACTGCGCTGGCTGATTGTATCCCTGCTTTAGATAAACTATACATTACGAAAATGAAGCGCGGCCGCGGCTGGAAAACAGTGTTTAATGCATCACTCGTCACTTCAGTAGGAGCCGTGAATTAATTTAGCTAAACTGCGACATGGTCATCTTGCGGAAATATTACCAACGATTCATCAGGTAATGTTTTCCCCTCTCTCTCTCTCTTTCTGTTGGTAAAGTGCTGACAACAAATATTTTTCCTCCATATCCCATAATGCACTGCGCATAGGCCTACGGCAGCTGAATTAGTCCAAAACGCGCAGTACTTTTTGTACTCATTTGATGACGTTTTAGTACGGATCATATTCTCACCACAAACAAACCGCTCCAGGGTTCGTTTGAAAGCGTACCGAGACCACCTCTTCAAGCAGGTCTCGGTACGCTTATTTGGTCCGCTTTTGGTGCGCACTCGAGTACGATTGCTGCATTCTCACCTGCCCAAACGAACCATACCAAAAGGGGAAACGAACTCTAGTGCGATTCAATCGAACTAAACAAGGCAGGTGTAAAAGCACCCCAAGAGACTTATAATGGAGGATTGAGGGTTTTACCTTTTTCAGCTGCTGCTCTTTGTAGAGGCGTACGGTTTTGGCGGGATCTGTAATCTCGTTTTTGTAGTTGTCGCAGACGTTGAGTCGAGACTGGGTCACCTGAACGGTGCCTTCCAGATACGCTCTCCACACTCCATACACATTCCTGAAGCACAACAATTATTCATTACACATCATTCCTATGCACACACAAAACTCTTGTTTACTCCCACATGAAAAAATACCATAGCGATTACCTGAAAATATTAGAGTGCTTCTGAACCATACTATAAGAAAATACTGTATATATTTGAGTATTTACAACACTTTGTTAATGAATGCAACTTACTAGAAAGAAAAGCTATATATTTATCATTTCAGTCATTTCATGCACTTGCTGAAAAAAATGACATTTAAAATATTATGATTTTATTAAACCAGCAGAAAAGATTAAATGCACTTTATGGTTTTTATGGCAAAAAAATATGTATTACACAACACTCCTATGCAAACAGAAACTCTATTTGGACAGCTGCTGATTTATTCCCACATAAAAAATACTATAGTCATTTATCTTAAATACTATAGACGAATTACCAATCTACGTCACACGGGTATCCGGTTGCAAAAAGAGACCGGTGGCAATAGTAAACATATATGTATATGTCAGGGTTCAACGCAAAGATTTCTTTTCTACTGGCCCAATCGGACCAGTGGTTCAGATTTTTACTTTCCCTGCCAATATTTTCACTGGCCCCACCAAAAAAAAATTAATAGCTATTTCTTAGCCACAAATAATAAAAAAATGTGTCAAAATGTTTGTCAATATAGAATTTAAATATTTAAAAAAAAATAAATAAATATGTAATGAGCAAAATTCAAAGTGTTTTGAAACAAAAGTTGGCTAAAGACCTGCCAAACTGGTGGCAAACTGTACAAAAGATCACTTAATTGTTTTTAGTCGGGGTGTACCCTGGTATATGTCGGCTTCCAATACGTTAGAAACAAATGTACGATATATCGGGGGCCATATCGTTATCGGCCGATAAATGCTATTTTTGAGAATATCGTTATCGGTCCGATGTCTAAATTAGGGCGATATCTTTATTTAACATAATTGTACAGACCTGCCTGCCTCGCACGCGTGGGCGGAACTTGTTCAGACTTGTCCAGTGCACTATAATGGATTTCTCCTCACACAGTTTACTCCTTCAAATTTCGTCCTTTCTTCATGTGGTATTGCTGTGCTTTTATGAAGCAGTAAGTAACCATATTCCTCATCATTGTAGAAATGTTTGATAGAGTGCCATTGTGTATTTTACTTTAAATCACCTCAGGAAAAACTATTGCATGTACAAACATTACAGCAGCATTTAATCACAATTTGTTATTTAACCTAGTATTTTTATGCAACAGTCAAGTTGCATGTTAATTTGCTATGAAGAAAAGGAAATAATTTTTTTTTGCATGCTGAAATCGTAAATATAGGTCTGTATAATCACCTTGCAATTTTAAAAATGATAGCTTATTTGCTTTGAGTATAGACTATTAAGTTCATAACAGCAGTTCAATCTTTTATGAAGTTTGCTGTATAAAAATCTAACATTTTGAAATATTTATAATTATCGGCCTATATATATATATATTAGCTATCAGCCTCCATGTCTAAAGAGTTATCGGTTATTGATATCGGCCAAAAAAAAATCCATATCGGTGCATCCCTAGTATTTACTATAAATTACTATAGTGTGATTAATGTGAGTACACTTGTACAGATTCTCAACAAATGATTGAGATGGCAATTCATCAACAGGTGACTTCTGTTGTGTTTCAGCAACTTGTGGCTGTTTTAAGGCAAGATCATTATAACATATAACATAATAATAAAAAGAAGTTCATAAATCAAAAAAAGTGACAAATCACATATTTTTATCAGTCATAAATAATAAATATGATATATAGTTTCAATAAATGATGACTTTTTAATATTTAAAAATAAAATTTCTTGCTTTTCATGCATTTTTTTTGCACCCGAGACCACAAAACCAGTCATAAGATTTATACATCACCTGAAAGCTGAATAAGAAAGGTTTCAATTGATCATTGGTTTGATAGGACAATATTTAGAGTATATAAAAATCTGAGTGTTCAAAAAAATTTAAAATTAATAAAATGACCATTAAAGAGGTCTAAATTTAAGTGCTTTGCTATGTATATTACAAATCAAAAGTTGAGTTTTGATATAATTACAGTAGGAAGCCAAATATTACATCTGCAATATAAGAGAGGACCACAGCACATCATTGGATATCTTCTTATTAAATTAGTTATGCCTGTTTTTGGGACTCTCACAGCGCTGATAGCCATAGATTTGTAGTGTTTTCCCTCACCTGTAGTCTGTCCTCTGATCGTCTGGTTTAATCCCAGGCCAGTCTCTCTTCAAATATTGACTCGCCAACTTCTGCAGGGCCTGAAAAACAGTAAAACAACAGTAAACGCTGTGAAATGCTGGAATGTAACCAGATTAACCTGTCCATAGTCTGCAAAATACAAATCAGTGCATATAAAAGTCACACTCCATTTATGTCCGTATAGACAGCATGGTGGCTCAGTGGACGCAATGTCGCCTCAAAGCAAAAAAGTCACTGGTTCGAGTCCCGTCTGGCTCAGTTGGCATCTCTGAGTGGAGTTTGCATGTTGTGCCTGTGTTAGCGTGGGGTTCCCACAGTCCAAACACATGCGCTATAGGTGAACTGAATAAACTAATATTGGCCTTAGTGTGTGAGTGTGTATGGGTGTTTACCCCATACCGGGTTGCAGCTGGAAAGGCATCTGCTGCATAAAACATATGCTGGATAAGTTGGCGGTTCATTCCGCTGTGGTGACCCCTGAAGGATGAAGGGACTATGCCGAAGGAAAATAAATGAATGAATATAACTAACACGGAGCAGCAGCGTTTTTTAAAATGAGAATGGCCTCTTCAGCGTTTCTAAAAAGCTCAGTTTTTGGTTCTCGAAAACTCTGGTGTAGTGTGGACAAATGGCGTAACCGTAGCAAAACTTATGCGTTCTCAAACTAAAATGTATTAGTGAACACAGGGCCTGAAAAGCCAGTAGTTAATAGTGGGAATTGTTACCTAAACTGAAATGTTACCAAAACCAAAACTTCTTTCCTGGGGCCTGTTTCAGTAAGGAGGTTCAAACAACTCGGAGTTTAAACTTGAACTCTGAGTTGATTTACCGAGAGATTAAAAACTCAGAGTTTTCGATTTCAGAATAGCGGATCTGAGCTGTGTCAATCAACTTTGAGTAGACCAAGCGCGCACACCGTGACTATAAAAAGGCATTATCAATAGAGCGCAGATATTACGAGTGACCATGGCAACATCTTAAAAAAAGAGATCAGCATTTCTTTCTCCGGCTGAACTTGATCTGCACATGCAAAGTTATAGCAAATATGAGCGTATATATTTAAAAAGAAGCAGCCATCAGTGAAACAGAGACAGTTAGCGTGGGACAACAGCTGCTCAAGTTAATGCGTAATTTTTAATTTAAAGTATTTAAACATTTAAGTATAATAAAATAAGTAATGTAATGTGTGACGTTTATACTTTTTTCTAAACTTTTATGCATGTTTATCAGTTTTAACAGATTTAACAGTGCACTTTTGTGTTTATTGATTTATTGATCAAGCGATAGAGGCTGATATAACATTAAGAAGGTAAGCAGTAATAAAATATTTTTAGACAGAATAATAATCCCATTAATCTAATAACAGTGCATGTCGAAAGTTAAGCTAATTATTTACGAAAAAAAAGGACAAGCCTCGTACGTGATTTGTTCTGTGTGTGACAAAAATGTAGGCAATAGCTGTGTTTCCATCAAAACATAGGCTATTACATAAATTTGTGCAAAACTGGAATAACGCCTAAAAATAAAGCAGCGTTTTTATCCAAAGAGTCGAAGAGAACACAATCGTTACTTCCTGATTAACTTGCGCCAAATATCAACAGTAAAAACCGAGTTTACTGCGGTAGAATACACTGCGTCAATGATTTTTTATTTAATTAATGTACTTGCGCCTCAGAAGACAATTGACACACAATGAACACGTGGGGGCGCTTGAAGCCAGATGTGGAGATCTTGACACGCTCCAAACGCTCAGAGGTAATTAATAATATACACTAATACTGAAACAGTTCAGGCATTTTAGAATGACTAAAACAACATTTAAGATGTTCTGCAGTGTGCTCAGTCTGCTGGTTTGTCCTTTCACACACATTTTCATCATCATCTCTAACAAACCTTTTTTTAATGTACATACTGTAATTTGCTATGTGCACTTCGTAGTTCATGTGCATCTTATCAAATAAAAGTTTAACCTACTCAGTTATGCACATGTTTTATTATGCATATTTTCAAAAGTTGTGTGAATCATGACGTTTCCATCAATCGTTTTTATGCACATCTCCAAAATGAGCTCTAAAATAGGTGTGCGGAGACGTGAGGCTAAAGCCTAGTTCACACTACAGGATTTTAAACATCAGCAGATCGCTGTGCTGTTTACACTACATGACTTGACTTTGTGTCTTTTGATCTCTGAGGTGTTCACACTACGCAACACTCTGTGAATGATCCACAAGAGGGGGGTCACACACTACATGATCCGACAACAACTCATTCCCCATCAGCTCATTCAAGCTACCAAACCACAGCCAATGAAAATTTGAGGGAGGAGTCGTCAAAAAAAGCTGAACACTATTGGCTGCTTGTGATCTCAATTACATCACTGACAGCGTTTCAAGCTTTGGAGAGCATTTAAAAACATCGTCAAATCAGCTGATTTATGAGCGGATTAATCACTCATCTGCAAGGTTTGAGTGGATAGATACACAGAGAGTTTTTAATTTTTGTAATTTTATAACTCTTTGAAATAAAACTAACATATTTATAACACCCTGCCGTTTTCTAACTATCAGTGTATTTCTTTCTGACATTGTTATTTTTTTTTATTACAAAACAGTAAAGAACTGAGCATTTCTGCCTTAAATTACCATATTGGTCAAAATGACTGCATGCATGTCTGATACTTTTCACTGTGACTTTAAATATGTGTGCATTTTCTTGCCTGGCAACTTCCTGCTAACATAAACAAAACTTTCTGATGGCAAAAACATCAATTTACTTCAGATATCTTTAAAAACAGCATATTCTGTGCTGTGAAATAGCTCCTGTTTGAAAGTGAAAATGAAAGCCAAGACCTTTAAGTGTTTTAGAATCTTAACTACATATTTATAGGCTGTATTACCAAAAAAAAGATTATATTTTTAGGGTAATGGTGTCATTAAATATGATGCCAGACATTCAAAGCTTAATTTTAATATCTCAATAATAGCTTTGAATGTAAATATGTTGTGACAATATGGCGTTTTATATGAGAACGGTCAGAATGAGCAGTATGGTAATTCTAATAGTTACAGAATTCTAGTTCCACTGTTAATATAGCCTACTCTCATGTCTGTGCTAACGCAGAATGAAGCGAGTGCACCGATGCCCATTCTGACCAATCACAGATGTTTCTGCTGAGCTCCTGAACACACAGGCATTCAGCTCATGCTGATATGCTCTCTCATTGGCTGCAGCTCGTCACTACATCTGACCACACGGGGGGTGGAGTCGGCCGACTGCTCTGGAATATTTAGCATGCTGAATGTTGGATTTCCGTCTGCGAGGTGTCGGCGACGCGTCAGCGAGCCTCGTTGATGCGTTGCTCAGTAGTTCACACATAAAGAGCGGCGAGCGCCGAGCACCCGCAGATTTCTTCCCGATCACAGCCCGATCTGTCGGCGAGCTCGTTAACTTCCAAATCGGGCTCAAATCAGGCTTAAAATCATCTAGTGTGAACTAGGCATAAGAGGAGAAATACGCTTCATCTTTACAAAAGGGGAGGAGACCGACAGAAACTCAGAGTTTAGAGAATAAAACCTGCTCTGGACCAGGTTAGATTCACAGAGTAAGTTACCACAGTAACTGACTCTGAGTTAAAGTTACCTTTCTTTCAGAAACAGGCTTGACTTACCCTGATTTCTTGAGTTTAACAAACCTGCCATTTTGAAACGGAAAACCCAGAGTTTCTCTCATTTCAGGGTTAAAATACTCTGAGTTTTCACTTAACCTGCTTTCTGAAACAGGTCTCTGGTCTTGCTCATATGATTCGATTTGAGTTTTTAAACATGAAAACAAAGCGATGAGCAGGCCATATGCATGTTCTCATGACCCTGTCATCAAACGCCATCTATCACCAGCACAAACACACAACGCCTTACAAAGCAACCCAAATTCCAACGCCTGTGACATATGCTCGCTGTTGGCATGAAGAACAACCTCCTTCGGCAGTGTTAAAGCTCTGCGCTTGAAAATACAGCTCCATAACGGCACGAACACCACCTGACATATGGAGAAATGAACACGGCATCAACTCTGACACACATTACTGAATACATGGTGATATGAGATTTTGGTTATATGCTTGAGCTCTACATGGGTCTCTGCACCTGCCCCATTCCCAGATCCACAACAGCATCTACAGTGTGTGTGTGTGTGTGTGTGTGTGTGTGTGTGAGCAGCAGGGAATGAAGCAGAAGAAAGGAGCCGTTCTCCACAGACTGGCCTCTTTCAGGTCCTCTACAGGACACTACAGATCAGCCGGCCTGACGTCTTTTATTTTCCTTCCTCTGCACGACTCGCTCTGCATACTAGAATAATCACTGCACTTGTGTTCCTAACACTCACACCACCGCTGGACACACGCACACACACAGAGACAAACACACACACACACAAAACACACTCTGAGACGCACACATTAATACACACACACACACACACACACACACACAAACACAAACATATATGCAAACAACCACAAAGAGACACATTCACAGACACACACACATTAATACACGGAAACACACATAGAGACATGCGTGTGCACACACAGACACTTAATAATACATGGGAACATAGAGACATGTGCGCACACGCACAAACACACAGAGACGCACAGAGAGAGAGAGAGAGAGAGAGAGACACACACAGACTCATACACAAACATACATAAATATACACTCAGACACACACGCACGCATGCTCAGAGACACATATATAGATGCACACACAAACACACACACACATACACATACACAAAGATGGACACACACAAAGGACACAAACAAAGACACACAAGAGACACACACACACAAACACACAGAGAGAGAGAGAAGGAGATAGAGAGAGAGACACACACGCGCACACACACACACACACACGCGTGCAGACAAAAACACACATACACATAAGCATCCAGATACAATCCCGATCCTCAAAAGCACATGTAAATGATGAACTATAATACACACTCAAGCTTGCACGCACGCACGCACGCACACACACACACACACACACACACACA